CTGTTTCTTTATTTTGGAAGCTGTTGATTCATTGCTTTCAGCTGTGTGATTTCCAATTTTTTCTGTGTTAGTGTCCTCTGCACTTGTTACAGGTGGGCTTGTGTTCTGAGGTTGCATTTTGATCCTTGTCGTCATTTTGTGTAGCACTGTCTTCTGACCTTTGTTGTAGATCTTTGCTGTAGTTATAACCTTCGCACATACTGAAGTTCAGGTGCAGCTCTACAAAGTTTCGACTTATCCAGCTGCGTCTGGCTTAGGTCTGGCTGCTGTGCTCAGCTCCTTCCAGCTCCTGCCCTTGAGGGTGAATATGTTGTGCCCCTGTGGCAAGATGTTCTGCTCCTAGACTAGCTGGGTGGATCTATCCTCTAAACTCTCTGCAGAGATTGCAGCTGCAGGGTTACATCTCAGGCGTGTATGCCAGGCCTGAGCTGTGCCTGGAGGGAGCAAGGTGAAGTAGGGGGAAGAAGAAGCTCTCCCACACACTCCCTGGACCTGGGCTAAGACTGGGTCCGGGGGTTCCCGGAAATCGGCAGAAATTCCTACTCAGCGGGCGGAGGTGGGGGTACTGTGGAGTGGTGGGGGGCGGCCCGAGGGTGTGGGAGAGGGTCCGGCCCACGCTGCACCTGGGGTGGGACTGGTCCCGCTGGCGCAGGGTAGCAGGAAGCTCTCCACACACTCACCGGACCTGGGCTAGTACTGGGTCTCTGTATAAGTTTAAATAATGCAATTTGTCCTGCAGACTTTTTAGCACATTAATATTTTGTAAACATATCTGTCATGCTTAAGCCTTTGGTAAAGTTACTCTCTTGTGTTTGATTAAATATTATTTCAAATACTTACCTGAATATTAATTATTTATTTTAAATAATCTACAATTTTCTTAGTTCTTATTTCGTATATGTTCTTTATTGTAGAAGCAAGACTTCTCCATAGGTAAGTGTTCAATTTTATCATTGTCTAATTAATTATTTTGATGACATATTTTTAAGATTCATAGACATTACATTTAAATTAGCTGCAAGTTACAGATTTTATTCCTTCTAAGTATTTATAATTAACTGTTTTATGAGAGGATATTGGAGTCAGATGGCCGAAAATCAGACTTTTTGCTTATATAACTCTGATCTTAGACTCTGTTTTAAAACTTTTCTTGGCCTCAAGACAGTTGCTTATTTAAAAAAACAGAGAGAAATAATATTGTCTTTGGCTTCAATTCAAGAGGAGTCCATATATTAATTGCATGAAATGCTTCTGTTGTGGCAAATTCATCAAGAGATGCACTCATGGGAGACCGAACATAAAGGAACCAAGAAGCTTTATTGAAAACCAGCAACCGACACTTCTGACAAGGAGTCAGAAAGCAAAATGTCAGCCCTAATATGAGCTTTATTTTCACATTTAAACACTGTTTAGGTTTCCATAGAAACCACATCACATTACTTCATTTTCAGGAATGCCACACACTTGTCACAAGGTTTACATTTCCCGGAAACTGTTGACCATCTGCCAGTCAGGCAGACATCATGGTCTAATGTTTACCACCTCCCAGTTTGTTCTATTTGTTCACATTTTCATGGCCTTGTCTTTCTTGGTGGATTTATGGTTAACTACATGGTAGGAGGTAAGGTAGTGAGTTCATCTACAGCTTAAGTGGACTTAAGTGACTTTTAAAGTGAAATTATGAAAGGTAAAAAGATATGTGTATATATGCAGGATAGTTTGGATAATTGTACTAATTTCTGCTGGTCTGTTGAAATGAACAGTTAATCCTTAAATTACTTTATTCTTATATTTTTCTTTAAATTCCTTATAACTTTCTTTTCATTGTTATTTTATGGTTTTTTTAATCAATTTTGTAGGCTTATACCCAGTGCCTAATCAACTAATTTGAAGATAACATCATGCAAAACAGGAAGGTAGTTCAATTCATATTAGTTTCTTTAATGAAATTTTGTATCATTTCTAATGTTTTTGTTATTATCTTGTATTTTTTCCCTATTTTATATTCTTTAAAAAAATAGAAAATAAAATTAAAAAAGAAAATTGAGTCTCTCTTGCCCCATCACTTCCAGTTTGTTCTGTCAATTTAACTTATGAGCCAGAGATTGTTCAGTATTCACTTGATCCTGTGAAATCTAGACTTAAAATTTACCAGTGAGGGTGTGGAGAAGGAATTCAGTGGCAGAGTGCTTCCCTACAATACACAAGGCCCTGAGTTCAATCTCCAGAACTGGGAAAAAAATAAAATAGTTTCATGCGATGATTTCTACATATGATTTCCATATGTCATGTATAACACACAAAATAAAAGAAAGATTTCTTCCTGGAACAACAAGGATAAGAATGTAAGTGGCTGAAACTATATTTTAAGTTCACCAGAGACTTGTGCAAGCAAGGAAGACCAGCTACACTGAAAGTCTGTTGAACAGAGTCAATATGAAGAATATA